TTTAAAACACTTATGTCAACTCAAGGTTTTCATCACAGATTACTGTAGCTAAGGTCAAGACACTAAGCTTTAACACAGGAACTTATCTGAAGTGACATTCCCTGGCAACTGCCTGCTTGTGTACTCTACACTACATTTTCAGGTGGATTGCCACATATTCATTAAGGCATATCTTAAACAATCTTGCATTATAAAAGAGGCAGAAAAAACCCTACTACTGTTGCATTATGAAAAACATTACAATTAAGCACTGTAACAGGCCAGACTACTTAGGCTGTGAAATCCCTCTTCACTGGAGATTTTAGAGATGTTAGACAGACATTATTATCTGAAATTACACAACCAGACCATGGAGGAAACAGAGAAATCACTTCCAGCCTTACGTTTCTGTGAACTTACGCTTCAGGGGAGAAAAAAAAAAAAAAAAGGAAAGAAACACCAAAACCCACAAACAAGTCAAAAACAACCAACCAAAAAACCCTCAAAACAAAACACCATAAAAGCCACACTGCAGAAAATCAGTCTTCATACTGAAATGTGAAATGTTGGTCTTTAGGGGAACAGTTCCTGTATGTCACTTATTCCTAAATTCAAAATCAAGCAGTGAGTAGCTCCACTAAGTCTACAATCTCAATAAAATTAATAGTTACTGCTTGTAAGCTATGCACAGATTCCAGTCCTACCCAACCTAAATCATCACCCAGCCTGTTTTATTCAGGGCATAAACATTCTGTTCCAAATGAAACTTTACACTCAGCTCACAGCCCTGGCTATAAAGTTATATTCTGCCCAGAAAATGACAGCACATATTCATAGCACAGCCAGACTGAGTCCAAACACAATGCAGCTCCAGCACCAGGCACTCTCTTGTTAGGAATAAAACATTTCTGAAGAACCCAATACAACTTTCTTGTCTCTCCAGTGAGAAAGGCAGAGGAAGATGGTATCTGCCAAGGAAACAATGCCACTGACTACACAGATTACTGATAAATACTCAATGAAATATAAAAAGAAAGGGGAACAACAATGTAGAAGTCAACAAAACTTTTTTACAGAAATTTTTAGTAAGTGCTAGGGAGATGCCATTAAAATAACCACTTCAACAAACTTCACTATGAATAATTTTAAGAAATACAGTTATGCTTCCCTCTTTGTCCAGGGTGAAGTATGCCCTCATCAGAGAAGGACAGGCAGATAATTGAGCCAACTTTTTATACATGGTTCCTTCGAGGGTAAAACCATTGACAGGGGAGCACGGTATCTGTGTAATGTCTCAGGGCTAGAAATTTGAGTTCCTCAGCCACCAGATGAGCACAGCTTCTGTTTCCTCACAGGCTGTGCCTGCAGTACCCAAGTGCTGAGATTTGCCTGGAAACTGGAAGCACCTTAGTTGAAATATCGAGGAGTTCACACAGGCTAATATACCTATTGGAAAAAAAGGCTCTTCCCAGTGGGGTGAATGGCTCTGTGCAGAACCCTGGGCTTTCACAGCTACACAATTTCTTTCACAAGCAGACAGCCCACAAAGCCCCAGCCTGGCGTCCAGGCTGTGCTTGTGTTGTGATTATCCATCAGGCATACCAGTGTGCTCCTCAAGCCAACAGCCTGGTTTCCATCTCCCAGGCTAAGACTTCTGAGACGGCTCCCAACACAAACAGAAAATAAACTGACTTCTTACATTTGAAAAAGCCATAAGCAATGGGTGTAGCTCTAGTAAACAGGTAGAAACTGGGGTGCAGGTAAGTTTAAAAACCCCCACTCTTTAATAGGCAAGATACACAGAATCAGTTACTAATTCAAAACACTGAATTAGAAGAACTGAGTTGAATATCCAAGGGATATTTTGCCTCGTGTCACTCAATTCACATTTCAAAGAAATTATGATGAGATATTAAAGTAACTTTAACCAGCAAGACAGAATTAGATAAAGATGCTTCAGTTCATTTTAATTAATAATTAAAATCATCATTAAAAATATAATTCAATCTCTATCCAATTCCTTTCATGCTTTAATTTTTGTAGCCCTGTTGAACCATATAGATAGAGATTTAGGAAAATACTCCCAAAGATAAAAGGATATTCTGTTTGATTTAATTTTTACCTTTTATTTTCTGCAACTAATTTACACATTAGACAGTGGAATGCTGTCTACCCTGGACATGTATGCAGAAGGAAAAGTGGTTCAGTATTGCATATCACAGAACGTAAGCAAGTGAAATGAGGAAAGATTGTATCTTTAATATCTGGTCTATACGGACACCCAAACAAAATTCTTTCGCAATACTGAGGAACAGCTCAAAGGTTCGCCAACCACCTCTTCAGGCACAAACCCTCATGATTAACACACCAGAATTCTCCACAATACAAAGACATATTTATACATGCTTCATAGTTCTAAACAAAATATTTAGAAATAGAACTTGAGAAATAAAGAACAAAGTACTGCAAACCATTTTTGTCCAATACTGCTTTTTGAACCTCTACCCAAGACTGTTGTCAGTAAAATGACCTCACTGAGGCACTTCTCTTTACAAGGCCTAATACATTATTTAAATGCAGACTTACCAGATAATTGTTAAGATCTGTATTTTATAGAGGAAACCAGTAATATTCTCCTCCTAATAACCAGCAAATATTTCTGAATCTAGAGCTAGTTCTTTATTTTATCTTCAATTACAAAGGGGAAGGAAGAACCACATTCTTTCTTCATTCATATTCCAGATTATGAGTGGAACTATCATCTACAGCCCCACAGTAAGACTTTTTTTTGTCATCTTCTTTATTCATCCTTTTATCTTCCCTTTCCTGTCCATACTAAGCCCAGGTCTTTGTGGAGCTCTCCCCAGAGGTCCAGATATTCTCCTCCAGACAGAAACTTAAAAACCTGTTATCAAAATACCTTCCCTCTGATGTCATGATTTTGCATTTATAGGCACTCAATTCTATACACTGCTGACATATAGTATCTGTTCCCTAATCAGAAGTAAGAATTAATAGAGGTTTCAAAGCTACAAAGGCAGCATTTTCACTCTGATGGGAGCATACAGTTCATACTTTGGGGGAGGGGAAGAGAAGAAAGAGTGTTGGCTCTTTCATGAACATAAAAGGGCAGAATTACACATTAGTGTAGCTTCCCCATGTATAGACATTTTTTTCTGAAATGCAGTGTAAACTTGAAATCAACCATTAGCTTCTTTAACTAAAGCTCAAATCATCCACATAATAACTTTTACAGAGAATTATGACTAAGTTTTTTTTAAAATGTGAATTGTTAAAATTTCACAATTAAGAAATAAATCACAATGGGAAAATAGGTTCCTATTCACAAAACAACCAACCAAGCTGGCATCATTAATACCCTTTTAACAAGGCAGAACTGAAATACTGGGAATGCTGTTGCCAGGTCAGAATTGAAGTGAATTGGGTAAACCGTGCAAATGGGCTTACAGCACCTGCCCAGCCCTTGGCCTGGTACAAACCTGTACTTGCTCCTTCAGTAAAACCCTTCTTCGTCAGGGCACAGAAATTACTAACTCACTGAAGTTTTCACAAAGGCAAAAAAAAGCCTATACTTTTTAAAAAAATACATTTGAAAGAAAAGTTGAGATGCTAAGCATTCTTGATTCGTATGTGCTTTAATACCAAGATTTTTGACCTTCAGAAGTCCCTTCTCCCAGGAATCAAAAAAAAGGGAGAAAACCAAAAACACTCCTCAGAAACGACCACAGAGAGACGCTGCAGACACTCATCTAAAATAATGGCAGTCAAAGGTCAGGATGATATAGGGAACATCAAGCTTTTCATTTATGAATCTTCCTGAAAGAGACCTCTTAGTATGTAGAGGTAAGAAAATCACGGACTATCCAGTCAGAGCGACATAGAAACTGCCTAAACATGTGTAATTTACAGGATTTTCCTAAAAATGACCCCAAGTATCTTCAACTTTGACCAATTAATTTCAAGACCTCCCTGAAATATAACATGGAAACTACCATCAGATTGTTGGGTCATCTTAACAAGATTCAGCAATTTTCCTATGAAGATTCGCTTATACCCAGCAGACTACAAAATAACACGAAGAAAAGCAAGCACTGCAGATTGGATACCGATCAGTAAAACGACAGAAAAGTCGTAGGAGTCTTCCAAAAGTGCTGGAAAATGCATACTGCAAGAACAATTGGTATTCCTGCCTAACAAAGCTGGGTTACACTCGAAGGCTCCAACATGTTAATCTGTCACCGTGACAGAAAAGCTAAGGATGCCAGACCAACACATATTTCTATTCCAACACCCTGCATATCTAACAATGAGCTTCCGAACACAATTAAAAATAGGACTAGTGTCCAAATATATGAGCACGGATGCTCTTAGCATTTCTGCTTCCAACTTCTTGTCATAAAAAAAAGAGTACCCTTCAAGACCTCTCAGCATTCCTTAACAGTGTTTTTTTTTGCATTCTATAATCACAAGTGACAAAAGAAACAGCTCCATATTTGCTTCAGATCTCTTCAAGGGAAAAAAAAAATACACATTACAGTAATTCTGTTGCAAAACTACAGCACATGTGTAAGGCCCCGAGAAACACCGATGCTGATAAAATTAAAAATGGCTGTGCCCGAAGATCCCACAGCAAAACAGGCACTGCTCTACTGACGATTAAAATATATATTAAAAATTCCTGCATTACCTTACAAAGGGCGAGGTATGCAAAACAAAAAGATTATATATATTTCCAAAACTGAAGTAAGTTATTAGACAAGAGATGCAGATCTAAGCAAAGCATTCTTACTGAGTGCAGCTTGAGCTCATTTACACAATAAAGCAGATTTTATTCCCCGAGACATTTAACGTATCAGGATTTCAAAACTTTTATCAGGCTTCGCCGCTGAAATAGATGCACACCACTTTGTAAGGAGGCACAGATGTGCCCAAATAGCAGCGGACCCCACCCCCTTCCCGCTGCCAAAATGGCCAGTTCGTTACACCCAGTGGCTACTCACCAGCCGCAGTGCCGAGCAGCAGGGTGGCACTGGAGAGCAGGAGCACCAGCACAAGGTGCTGCAGTGAGGCAGGCATACCTGGGCAAGCCACGGTTCGAGCCGGCAGGAGGAAAAAAAAAATAAAAAAAAAGGGGTTAAAAAAAACCCCAAACCCGAAGAGAGGAAATTCCTCCTGCTTTCGCACAGCCTTCCTTAACTCTCTCGGTTTACAATCCCGTCTGGAAGGGCAAATGGCAGATGAGAGGAGCCGTCTTCGCTCTTACTCCATTACAGCCGCCTGCCTTCATGCCTCGGGAGCCGGCAGCGCTCAGCGGACACGGGGGAAGCGCCTGGCTCTGCCTCCCAGCCCCGAGGCATCTCCCCCGCGGGGAGGACGGCGGCACGCTCCCGACCCCGCTGGGAACCGGGCTATTTCCCACGCAGCTTCACGACATCGAAGAAAGCGCCCGGTTGGGAAGGGAACATATCCAGACGCGCCCACAGCGGTGTCACAGTCAGCGCGGGCCCTGCGGGCTGGCCGGGGCACGGAGAGCGAGCTAGGGGCTCACGGCGGCGGCGCGTCCCATCCCGGCAAAGGTCTCTGTCCTCTGGCCGCCCCTCCTCGCTGCCTCACGCTCCGGGGAAGGCGGCGGCGAGCCTCCCTGCTCTCACGGCNCGCACCATAGAGGTGGCTCCAGGTAGGCAGAGCGGGGCCGTCGGGCGGAGCTCCGCCGGCTGAGGGAGGGGGCGCGGGGCCAAGGACACCGCCACGGGCAGGGGAGCAGGGGGCGAGGGGCGGCTCCGTGAGGAGGGGAAGGCCCCGCTAGACCTTCCCGGGAAGGCCGCGGGAAGGAGGCGAACGCCCCCCCACCATGCAGCCTTTCTGTGAGGGAGGCTGTCAGCAGGGAGGCGTGAGCTCAGGATTCACAAAAAACGCCTGTAACAACAAGAAAAAAAAAATGTTTAGCAGTCTCAGAGATTGCGTCATGTTTGAACTCCGTGGCCTGCCTGTCAGGCACCCCGCAGCTTCTGCCTCGTCCTTGGGTTGAAGCCCCCGTTATCTCTGTCCCTGTGAGCTTCCCTAGGAGCACTGGCCGTACCACCTCCTGCTCTCCCTCGGTGAGCGCAGGCAAGTCACAGAGACACAGATCAGTTAGGTTGGAAAAGACCTCTGAGATCATCGAATCCAACCTGTGACCGATCACTATCCTGTCAGCTAGACCATGGCGCTAAGTGCCATGTCCAGTCTTCCCTTAAACACCTCCAGGGACAGTGACTCCACCACCTCCACCGGGCATTCCATTCCAATAGATAATCACACTTTCTGTGAAGAATTTCTTCCTAATGTCCAGTCTGAAATCCATTCAGCTCATATGGCTTCAGCCACCTGAATCTCTCAAGCAAAACCATTATCTACTTCTTAAATTAAAGAGATTTTATGATTTCAAAACAAAGATAAAGTGAGCCCACTCAGCTCTTTGTATGCTTTAACCTTTGCTATATTGCACAGGACCAAAGAGATAAATTGAGGGCAACAGCTGATGGAGAATTGTGACTGGAACTTAGTGTCTGATGTTCTGGCCTAGAACTTGTTTCAAGCAAGTTTTACTGGCTATAGCATAGAAGAAAGGATTCTTACACACTGGAAGCACCTTCATATCTGGGCATCACCAAAGGTTTGATTATGGGAAATGCTTCTCTGTGCCAAATATATATATATATATATATATACACACACCTATATTCCTATACTAGTTTCAAGAGTGGAATACAAGTTCAGAAATCAAATTCCACACTTCAAGATATTGAATGCTACTAAATAAAGTTGTATGTAAAGGTGTAGTTGCAAGTCAGAGTTGCAATTTTAGTGATATTCTGCATAATTCCATTCCTATTGACAAGCCATAACAGATGAAATAGATGTAATCTGATACTTTTATCATAAAGAGAATTATTAAATAAATTGTACTAGGATTTTCATCATTGTGATGCTCTGGCCAAGGTCATAGTTTGACATTCCTAGGGTCAAGGTGAATTTACACTGACAGTTATAAAATGCTTTTAAAGTTTCCTATAATACTTTTACTTCCAGTCTATGCAGATCTAATATGGATATTGGTGAGACAATAAAATACAGCATCACAGATTGTAATTTGTATTGCCACTTTCCAGAACTGCAATGTTAACCACACATGTTAACCACAGTATCCTTCCTGTTATTTGTGGAATGTGAATGTCAAGAAATAACCTTTAGAAGCAACACCAACACCAACTCTCCCCCCTCAACAGCTAGAACAGTTTTACCTCCAAGAGAGGAAAAAAACCCCAACACAGAATTTTTTTTTCTGCAGCACCAAAATCCAGTGTTCTTCTCTGGTTCCACAGACACCAAACTATGCAACACATCTTCTGCCCAGCTGTACCTACCGACAGAATAAGTGAGATCTACTTTGTTCAGAGAAAACAAGAACCTTGCCATGTGAGTTGCACAGCATTTTCACTGTTTAGATGGTAAAAGAAAATTACTGTAATTGTTTATGACATGTATGAAAACCTGCTCACCCTGAAGTAAATGACAGAGGCCTCACTTGTTTCAATGGTTCTAGTTTTGGCTCATTAATTAACACTAGGAGTTCTTCTCCACAAGAAATTGTGCAAAAACATATATTCTGCCTTAAACTACTTTTCTTTTTTTCTTTCCACAAAATGGATTGGATTTTTGTTCTCTGTTTTCCTAAAATGAAGGGGAAAGACATGCCCTTTTTAATACAATTATTTCCTTTTAGTTTCACAAAAAACCAAAACCTGATCAAGAAAACACACTACTGAAGGGCATGGGGCTTTCCATCTGCTTTGCCTGAGTTTATATCAGGCCCTTGGACTAATCTCACACACTTGCAATCACAGCAGTTTGCAAGAATTTCCCTTCCTTCCCTAAGCTATTTTGAGCCCTGTAGATGTTCTCTGCAAGGGCCAGGTCCCTCCTGGCGCGGTGTGGCTGTGAAGGTTGCACCTGGCGCCAGTCACACACCGATGCCAGGTGGCAGAGCAGGAGCTGCTGCACCTCGCTGTCCCTGGAGCTGGCAGGGCCGAGGAGGGGCTGACTCCCACTTCAGCACACACATGTAGAAAGCAATCGCTGCTGTCTAAACACAGAAGCAGCTTCCTTTTCCCACGGTGCTGGGAGGAAACCAGAGAACCAGACTGTCACAGTCAGGCTCGCTCCTTGTTATGTGCTTGAACAAGAACATATTTATAATTCTTCCTGTGATATTGTTTTATCTGTAAGCTAGGATTTCGCTCTCCTAATATTCAGCAACACCAAGTGCGACGTACAGGAAAGTAGTCAGGATAGTGAAAACTTGCTGAGCTGCAGGACAGTAGATCTGGGGTGCAGGTTCAGGTAAAGATAGGGGGGGAGACAAGAGAAAACACGTCAAATTTACCAAGATTTAAAAGCCAATATTCTGACTGAAGCACTGTATTTCCACCAGGAAGAAATCTGACCATCAGAAATGAAACAACACTAGTGAACACTATTGAACTTATTGGAGATAAGACTGTTAGAAAATGTGAGGAGGAAAGACCTTAGGAAGCAGATGGTCTTTTTCAGCTGTGTTCACTGTTCTCCCAGCCAGGCAGAGGCAAGGCTGCCTCAGCAGCACGGTCATGGGGCAAGGATGAGGAGGACAGTGGCAGAGGAGCCAGGGTCTGGTGGCTGGAAGCTCCCCAAGATGCAGGTCAGATAGAGAAGGAGACGTGTATCTTGCCCTTGGGTGAGGGAGCTCTGAACAGCACAGGCACAAACAGCACGTGGGGGTTGCCCTTTGCTTCAGTGGGATACAGAGAGGAGAAATGCAGCTGATAGGAGACTCAGGAGTGTCCCACTCTGGCTCAGACTGATGCAGACACAAACATGTTGATATCACTGGTAAATTCAACACTGCACGTAAGAGAAATTAAACATGTCCTTGTTAGCAGCATCTCCTTTAAACAACACGTATCTTTAATTACCTGGAATAAAGGAAACTATTTTCATGCTACCAAGAGAGTATTCCAATCAGTGGAAAATGAGATGAACAAAGAATGAAGAAAACTGAAATGAACTATGAAACAATTTCATGATTTTCATTTATTTTCAGAAAATCCAATGCTCAGGCACTTTGAAAAGATTTCTCAGGGTAGGTTCACTGTTATCCAAGAGTTTTTCAGCACTGATGCAATATAACTGTTATCATTGTTAGGACTCAGGGGACTGTTCTTTTTGACAGGGCCTTTCATGAAGTCAACAAATCAGTTTAAAACAAGCCATAAATTGTATTTGGCTGCCTGTCAGCTTGGCTGGGATGTTCTCCCAGTGCTGCCATAAGTGTTGGGGAAAGAATATAACATATCCAGATATTTAGCTTTTAGGGGATATTTTGTTCCTAATTTAAAAATAAAGCATCCCCCTAGCATTGACTCTGATGCATAAACATATGTTAGAACAGCCATCATGATTTTTACACACTTCCCTTCAAATAAATACACCCATTCTGGATCCTAAGTGATAGCTTAATAAATAATGGGTTCGGTACAGATCTCCCCAACAAATACCTGCCACTTTTTGGGAGAACTAGGAGAACACTAGGGAACTGTCAGCAAGATCATCTCCCCAGTCTTGCTCCTGTAACTGTATGTGGAGAGGTGGTTCCTGATAGATGGGATCCAAGCCTCCTATAGCTCTCTAGATATTATTAACATCCTGAATTGCAGCCAGGACTCACTGAAAAGACAATAGTGTCTACTTCCAGTCTGCTGAGTTAGCAGCTACAGCTTCAGCCAGTGCAGCCAAACAAGTAACCACATGCAGACGTCATTACCTTTGGAAGTGTTTGGTTACTTGTTTTATATAGATTTTCCCATCAGTGTCCAATCCTGGGTGCTGCAAGTGGCATTAATGCAACCCCAAAAGTCCCCTTGGAGTCAGGGAGGGAAGGTGGCTGTGGGAAGACCACAGTTTCAGGGAAGCAGGCACGCGTGCATAAGGAAAAACTATGTAGCCTCTGGAGACTTCATAGGCAATATGAACACCAAAGCAGCTTTCCCAGTCATGGACATGTTTCCTTGGGAATAGGAAGCAGCACTTTCATCTTGTCTGAATGCTGGGTTTTGCTCCTTTTCTGGGGCTTGGTATTATTTTGGGAAAATGGATTCTACAAAGGAGGGACAGAGGGACACCAAACCATGACTGAAATCCCAGAGAGGTTGTTGTGGAGTAAAGTCCATTTCTTTCTGTTCTTTCTGACAGGCAGGAAAAGCCCAATCCACAATGGTCAGCCTGTCCTGCCAAGACGTGACAGTGGCAAAACTTCCTGTGGCATCACATACCAGACCAGGCTCTCATGCTCCCAATTCTACCAAAAGCCTTAAGAAAATGGTAAATCAAATTCCTTGCCTCAGAGGGAATTAATTTCCCCTTTAGTCCAGTTAAATAATCTGTACCAGACCTTGCTTTTGGCCTTTAGACTCGTAAAATCTGTCTGAGGGCTGTTATGGCTTCATTTTCCTTTGTCTCTGAGGCACAGAAAAGAGCACCTTACTGTTGGGCTCTTGAAAAAAACCCCGAAACTTTTATGAGTGTGAACTAGTAAGTGTTTTCAGACCTGAGTTTTTCTCACTCTACCAGGCTGTTGTCATCTACTACAAGGTGAATGACACTGTGCAATGAAGCCATAACAGTCTTTGACATCAACATCCTGAATCATAAGAGAAGTTTTGTGGCAGCTTTGTTTATTTTTTGATGGCAGATTTTTAGTAAGTTACTGCAAAAATTAATTGCACCACTTTTGTGGCAGTCCCCAGAAAGATCTATTTTGATGGTTCACTTCTTTTTTTTTATGCTGGTCTCACATTCCCTGATTTTGGTGTAGCAAGTGGTTTCCTATTGGGAGCCCATAATTGCATGATCAAAGGTGTGATGATCAAGCCTGGAAACATAAGCAGGTGAGTGTGGGACAGGTCGGCCTTGGGTATGCACAGAGAAGGACGAGGAAGATGCACACTCTGGGATAAACAAAGGGAGTATTTTGTCTCTGAAAGTATTAGTAATGAAATAGTTAATCACCATTTTTACATTTCATAACACGTTCTATTTCCCAGTGATAATGAACTACCAACAGTGTTGATAGCAGTTGCTGTCTTGTTTTAGAGATAACACTGCTTAGTCTGTGGAAATCTTATGTCCACTTTGGGGGTGGAGGTGAGAGAAACTTTCAAGTTAGCTTTGAGAAGCACCTCCCAATTTGAATTAAGTCTGAAATCATATGTTAAAGGCCTTTTACAGCTTGTCTGAATCTCTTGGCTTGTAGATCATGACATAAAATGGGAAGTTTGCTGCAGGGTTTTTATCAGTTCAAAACATCACTTATTCATTAAATCCAACAACAGACGTAGTCAGAAATATAAATGTGATGAGCTGTGTCAGAATCATCTTCTGGTCCATAGCAGATGGGTCTGTCATCACCACAGACCTGCAGGGTTTCATTCCTGAGAGCTACCTGAGCCTTCTCAGACTCATGATAGGCGGCTGGGAACAGTGCTCACGGAATCTCCAACACTCTCTCCTGCTACTGTTACCTTCCTTTTGCTTTCTGGTTCTGGGTTTTTTGGTTTGGGTTTTTTTCTGTTGTTAGTTAATGTTTTTTTAATCACTCACTACACAAGATAGTTAGCAGTGCAAGTCAGGCTGGTTTTCAAAAGCCACCTTTTCATTTTTGGTCTTTAATTTCTCACAGACAATTAGGATTGGAACTGAAAATATTTCTCCAATCAGCTCAATACTTCTATCAGGAAGGTAATAAAAATTCCCTCTGAGAACAAAATGAAAGTCTCTGGTAAAGCACTGATAGACCTGCACTCAGTTTTCCATGGTGGAGGTCCAGAGGATGCAGCCTCTGCTTGTGCTCCTTGGTGGCCATATTTGAACTCCACATCAGCTTGGCACATGTCAGGCATAAAGGACAGAAGTGGTGTCTACAACATTCACTTGTTCCTTGTTATTTTAAATGACAGTGTGGAGGGAACAGTTTTTGCTCAGACTTCTTACAACAGTTGCCCTTTGCAGTGAGAAAGGAGGGCATCAACTATGAGCCAAACAGCGGAGCTTCTTCAGGTTTTGTCTTCTCTTGCAAATGTGAAAAAGAGTAAAAGAGTTGAATTGAAGCCCCTTTTAATGCAGATTTTGTTGCCACTGCAAGGACAATGTCAGAGGGCTGACCAGCCTCAGAGCCATAGCTTCCAGAGAAAGGTGTTACTGAGTGTGCCTGCCCAGTGTTCCTCTCCTGCATGCAGGCAGCTCTGGGAACATCACCTGGGGGAAGATAAAAGTAAAATTTTTACCTTTTAGTAAACCAAACAAGAGATTTCTATCCCTTCTGCTTCTGCCTGTAACATGACATCTGTTGCCTGACAATTTTGAGACATTTTTATCTGAGAAGAGTGTTCCTACAGATCAAGAAATGAGTCAGTAGCTCTGCACACCCTGCTTGTTTCTCATGGATTGATTTGGAAACATGAACCCAACTAACTGCTTCCCCAAAGCATCCATCAGGAGCCCTCTCCTTGAAGTGATACAGGCCAGGACACCAACTCCAGCCACCAGCATCAGTCCTGTTTGCTAGGGCCTGCAGGAAACATTGAGGGCACAGTGCCTCCCTACACCATCTACAGTCATTTGAAACTGTGCAGACATTAAAAGCTTTAATTTTCAAACAAGAGCCAGGCCTCCAGAGGCTATTTCCACAACACAAAATGGGCTATGTGAGCCTTGGGTGAGTGGTTTAGGGGGCATAGGCAGCACTCAGACTCTGTGAAACCTCTGCCTCTGCTTGCAATTTCAGATTAAAAGGCAAACACATAAATAAGGATGCAGGGATAAGTGGGAAGAGACTTCTAGAGAAAAAATTGCTCTTTATCTCCATTGTAAAGAGTTTGTATTTTTCCACAGATGAAAACTCACCAAAAGTGGAGAGGACTATCTCACAAAGAGGCTACAGAGGTGCTCAAAGGAATTTCATAAGTTCGAAAGCACTTTGCCTTCTTTTCTTTCCCCCCACATTTGCCACAAAATAGTTGTCATGTTTTGCATATTTCTTTTTCTCCTCCCTTTTCTTCATGCCCCTCTGAGCTGAGTAAAATCAATGTCTGAGCAGGGTTTCCCATCCCCAGCATTGTTGCCAGTTTCACTTTTGTGTTTATTTACTTTCAACCTTCAACCCCCTCAACTTTGGAGAAGTTGCATTTAGCAAAAGGAAAAGCTACCACCCCTATAGCTCTGCTCTCATAACTGCTGAAGCTCTCACATTTCCAGCAACAGAAGGGTGGAAGGGGTGTTAAATGGGGGCAAAGAGAAGCATGGACCCTGAACTAAATGTTGAACAGAAAGAGGGAGGAATTTGTAGGCAGGAGAGAGAGGATCTGAGGAGTGAGAGGAGGAGAAAAAAAGTTACAGGAGAAAAATTAAAATTAAAATGCATTTTGATTTAACAAAAAGGAGGGTGCTAAACTCAGATCTCTGATATGAACCACACTGCCAGGGACACTGGCTTGGAAGTTTCACAATGCTCATCTGCAGGAGTAGGTCCCTGGGACAGGCTGGCAGATAGTCCTCAACTCCAAAGGAAACAGCAAGTCTCAAGTTTTTCTTGGCTTAACCAAAAGTTGTAAAGCATATTCTTCCTGCCCTCCACTTGTATTCCGAGCTCCCCTGCGTACTTTGTTGATGAAATCTCTCACCCCAATTCAGGAGATAGCATTTGCTAAACATGCTCTGCCTTGCTACCAGAAGAGCTTCTGACCTTGTCCTGTCTTCTCCTTAGCGTTTGGCAAATACTTATCTGTACTCACTGTGACCTCCAGCCAGCTGGGTAAAAAGCTTTGGAGCCAAACATGTGCACAAATAATTCCAGGGGCAGCTGTTACTACTGGATTATCTCTTCCTGTGGTTTCTACAGATAGAAATAGTTAATACATGTTGCAGTTTACAGTCCCTTTCCCTTTAGCAGACCAAGGACCATCCTCCTTCAACTCAGGGCCATTAAACCCATCTCAACAATGAGGGCCTTCAATCTGGTACTCCCCTGTGTTGCCAGATGTATCCTATCACATGAAACATAGCCCACAACAGTCAAAATCACAAATCACAGCCCTGCCATCTTTAGCCAAGAAGGTCGCCATTTAATCACTCTTCTCAAGTTATGTGTAACAGAGGCCATCCTGTGTGTATCCAAACACAGCACCCCCTCTCTCCAACCCCTCCAGCCTCCCACAGCCCAGACACGAGGTGTTTTTTCACCCTGACACATTGAGGTCCACGCCTGCTCAGAGTTCATTCAACCCGAAGAGCAGCAATGACTCGCTTCCAAAAAATGAGACTATTATGGCTAGAGACCATTATGAAAGCCTGCATGAAGCTGAGACCAGATGTGTCTGTGGATGACTCCAAATACTGCTTAGAGCAAAGCTCTGGATTGTTTTGGTTTTGTTTTTTAAACAAAACAGGATTGACAGAATCTCCTCTGGAACAAGAAAGATTTTCTGATGTTTTTCTGCACTGCTGTTACAGATGTGTGGCTGGGCTGGGAGCTCACACCCACTGACAGTGACCACAGCAGCTCTCAGAAGTGCATGAAGACATGGAAGGAGCCCTTATGTGATAGGATGGAAGTGATGGGGATGCCAGCCCATCTAAGTTCAGCTCATGGTCATTGGGACCACGTTGTCCTTTCAGCAGGATGTTCTGTATGAGCCCCTGGAAGTGAGAGCGATAACATGGCTCTGATCGCTTTTTGCTTTTAAAGCAAACCTTTCATCAGGGGAACCTCAAAGCAACTTGCCAGCAAGAATGGGCACAACCTCACACTGTGCCTGTGAGATAAGCGAAGGATGGAATAGATTAACTGCTTAAAAGCACACAGCAGCTCTGTGGGATGAAGGAAAAATAAGAAAAAAGCCTTATATATATACATACACGTTTGAAACCACACAGGGTTTTATGGAGAGGCAGGCTGGAAGGCTGCCAGGATACTGAAATTGCCACCCCTGCACAACCACGAATACCATGGAAACCAGTGGGGCACTGGCAGGCAGGAAAGGAAATAAGCTAAAAAACGGCATTCCATGAAACACAGCCAGGCTGGGACACTGCTCCCCTCCTGAGTGAGGGAGGCCTACGTGCCTAACCACCAGTGTTGCTGCTGGTGGGAGCTGGGCTCCAGGAGAGAGTCATTCCCAGTAATTTCCCGGCCTGGGGTAACGCTTTCCTGGCGGCGGCCAGTGGCTGACAGCAAAAAGAGGGATGGCTGAAAACTGCTACATCATGTCAGCTGTGGTATGGAAGTAATGGAAACCTGGAGTGCCAAGTAAAGCTTCAACACATGCTGGGAAGTATAGGAAGATCAAAGTCAGTTGACAACTGAATAAGGACAGGGAAGGAACATGTATGTGCAAGCTCCTGCCTGCCCTGTCTGGTGAGGTACGATTAAAAGGCATGAAACACTCATCAGTTTTCCCTCAAAACACTAAGAAAGCTCAAAAAAGGATTCCTTTAACCTGAACAAAAGTAAGTAAAGGAGAGAGGCCTGGAAAACAAAGCCAAAAATAACAAATGAAACTGAATATAACAGGAATAACAGAAATAAACAAACCCAGACAAGCAGTGGAGGAGGAATGAACACACTGTTAATCTGTCAAGTACACGGTGCCCACATCAAACTACACAGTAAACCCAGAGAAATACCCAGCCTCTCGGCTGAGCATGGGCACCTGCTTGTTACCAAACAGCACTCAACCCTTAAAAAGTTGTACTCCTGGTAAGCCAAGGGAGGAGGAATTCAAACGTAGAACAGCTGTACTCATTCAAAATACTGCTAAGAGGAACAGCGGCATCTTATGAGTAAGCTGGATATGGCGCAACCAGCAGCAGGCTTGAGCAAAAATAGCCCAGTGGAGATGAGAGGCAAGAAGAGACACCAGTACACAGCTCTCCCTCTGGCTCTCAGCAACTGAAGGATGCAGATGTGATTTCTTACAGAGCCCAGACTGAACAAAGGCAGGGGGACATTTCTACAGGAAGGCAAAGAGGACTGAAAAACCAGAGAAGCAGCAGAGCAGCATTTCTGCTACGCTAAAATGCACAGAGCTACGGGCCTTCCAGTAGCCACAGGGGAGGGCTGGAAGGGGTTGGGAGCATTGCCACGGCTGGCCCTGATAAGGCTCTATCTAGGAACAGGCGAGGGCTGTGCTCATGGCCTGACCGAGAAACGGGTCTGGAGGAGTGCGAGAACAACAGGATAACATCAGGCACTTCTCACATGGCTGAAGGACCGCCACTGGTCATCAGGAGACAAGTGCAGATGGGAGACTTTAAAGTGGTGCCAGAAAAAACAAGCTACAGCCAGGGTCGAGGAACATGGGATCCAACTCCTAGTTGTCAGCAGTTGTGGTGTATACATTGCTGGAAACAGATGCAGTGCCAGGAAAATCCAACTCCCAGCATGAAAAGAATAACTTAGGAATGATAATGAGAGAAGCCAAAGCAACTGTGACTGTGAATTAGTGATTACATAAAAGTTTTTATCTTAAAGTTATGTTGGGCCAAATTCTGCAGTAATTTTTTCAGCCAAGAATGCTCCCTTGAGACCCTGTGATTTGGCCACAAATTGCTACATATTTAAAAAAACAGAAGAAAAAAAAAGCACACAACAAAACAAAGGTTTCCTCTTTATGCTGGCTGGAAATACATAGCAGGCAATAGCTTTGACTGGCATCAAACACTTCTCCAGTAGGTAGCTGAAGTCCTCTGCTTTATGCCACCATCCAGCATCACTGTAAGGGACAGGCCAGTCTTCAGGTTTTGCTCCCTTATGCGGCTGCCACCCAGAGAAGTGGGAACTGTGGCTGTTTGGTATGAAGACAACTACATGCTATTCAAGCTCTCTGAAACAAGTGAGGTACAATCCACATCACAATTCCTCCCACTTGGACCTATCAAAGCTACTCCTGAAAAACTGAATATACACAGTAGCCTGGGTACTGCCATAAGGAAACATAGCAATCATTGCTGCCCACCATGTGCTGAACAGCAATAAAAGTTTCTTTTCAAAGTAGCTGTTCTGAGTAAAAAACTACCAATACCTCAGTGGCAGGCTCACAAGAGCAGCAAAAGGATTCTCTCTATTCCATTCCATGGGCAGTACTGGGCTCAGCAGCAGCTCTGGGCTTCACACCTGGAAGTCTGTGTAGTTTCAAGTGGGGCATCTGCAAATCCCAGAGCCCAGTAAGTCCCAAAGAGATGCAGCCACAATGAGACACCTCTCTCCTCCCAGAACCTCTCCCCATTCCAGTTGGAGACTCATCACATGCACGAAACTTCCCTGCTCATTCTTTCAAGTTGGCTTACCAGGAATAATATGCTGCCAACCTGCAATTGCTAAGGAGGTATCAAAAATAACATGAGAAAGTGAATATTTGGAGCAGGAGACACACCCTTCCCATGACAGATGACCTGCTGTAAAAGCCCTTATAAAAACAAGGGAAATGTGCTCAAATACCTGTTGTAAAATCTGAAGCTTGAATGCTGTGCAGCCAAAAATCCTGGAAATAGTTCTTTCAAATCATGCAAACACTTTGGAGATTCTGAGAGAAGAAATAGCTGGAAATAGTTTTAGATAAAAGAACCTTTCATGCCAGCTGGCAAAAGGCAAACAGATGGATCAGATAGTTGGATAGATGGGGCTTAAAGCCACTTTTGTCTCAGCAGTGGGCTGGGCTTGTGTATGCAATGTCTGAAGGCAGCATATCTCATTATCTGACCCTTAAATGTTGGCTTTATGAAATCATATCAGATGAAGCTGCAGCCTTCAAAAGCGTCTCTCAGCCTGGCAGGACTCTCACCTTCCTCCCAGCAGCACCTTCAGCAGGCTGGGGGCTGGCTTGGTGCTCATGCCAACCTCTCAGGTTCTCCCCTGCTCAGAGCACCAGTCCAGGCTCTGTCAAAGCTCAGGAAGGTTTGTTATGGTGGAGGGATTTTCACAAATACTTGGTCAAAACTCTTATGTTCCCACAGTGCAACAGCAGCAGGATAACTCCAATGGGCAAGAAATGAAGGATGCTGTGAAGGCTGAAGGGAAATCCCCCAAACTGTGTTTGAGATGTTTAACAAAAACTCACTGAAAGCAGGACGTGATCCACACAAAACAAACCAGGGCAAGTATTCTGTATTTTCTGTAGCCTGTGCAGCTTGAGTAAAGGTGATGTTTAGTTTTAGCTGTGCTTTTGATGCATGAATCTAAAGAGACCAAACTGAGCCACCTCAGAAGGGGAATTACACCTTGTTTGATGGGGATGGCCCTGAGCCACGGGTTTGCACGAGCAGTTTCCTTAGAGCCAGCCAGCCGCTCCTCACCCCTTATGTGCTTTTCTCATAGGGTGACTCTGATGGGGGGTAGGGCTGTCCCCAGTGATGGAAGCTCATTGCCTGTCATGTTTGTCACAAATTGCAAGGACCACAGCCCACACAGGCTCCCTCCAGCATCTCATCCCCTGGGACTTCAGCTGGTCACTGCCAATGTGACATCCCAGTTCTGCTGGATCACCAGCCAAAGCAAACCAGGGTCTCTCTGCAGCATCTCAACTGGTGTGAAGAGATTACAGAAATCTGGAAAGACTGAAATAAGTACATGGACCAGGAACAGTTTAACTTTCTTTTAGAAATATGGTTTTTGCTGTATTTGAACTATGCATCCCTGAAGATTTCATGTCAAAATGGAATTGTGAAATGAATATTAAATGTTTATCAAGAAATTCACAGTTGAAAGTGGTCTGCAGTGACAGATCAAAAAAGAAATCCCCTCTGTGCCATTTCTATTCTCATTTTTTCATGACACATTAGTTCATCCAGAAGGACTTTAATACTCATCTTTATAGATATTTTTGCTTTTCACATCGGGTATTAAACTTCGCTATCGTGTTCAAGAAGACTCTGAGTTACCAAAGACAGGGCAGGATTACACCATCAAAGTTGCAACATTGAAGCCCTGGCATGACTAATCCCCAAGTAAATGGAAAAAGACCAAAGATGGGCAGTGTTTGCAGTGGGTAGGTGCAGACCCAGACAGTCTCCTCCAGCCCACAGGTGCATGGGAAGCATGTCCCATCCACACAGGAACAGCCTTGAGTCTCTGCCCCCCTCTTCCTTGGCTGCCTTTCTAGGGACAGTGGCACACGTTGCCCCTGTGGGTGGCCCTGTGGGCACAGGGGGGCTTGCCTCATGGCTGTTCCCCTCACATCAGAACAGTGTCTTAGGATAAAGGGGTTGCTCCCAGGAAGAGTGTTGGATTCTTCGTTTGCTTTCATGAGCAAGTTCATGGGAAAAATCCACCTTTGCATAAAGCATAAAACCACTTTTTAACTGTGTCCTTTGAAAGACATGCAAAACTAACTTCCATGGACAAATGGCACCTGAGCGCACAGACTTTGTGGTCCATCTTAGAGAAGTAGCTTCCGGAAGAAGACATCACCAAGCTGGCTTCTCTTTCCTGTAGGCATCATCTTGTGATGATTCACAGAGCCCAGCTGAAGGGCAGTGATGATGTGTCTGTGTGATGCAATGGCAGAGCTGTGTCAGATCCAACACCAGAGCACTACTTCTCACAGTAAAGACACTCATTTTTTGCTTGGCAGAACCAGTCTAGCCAAAATCTAGTACAAAGTTGGCCCAAACCCTTCCCCAGCAGAGAGCAGGGCTGGCTGATACAGGCTGCCATGAGGGTCACTGTGGGCCCCTGTCTCTCTGTCTGAATTCATTAATTAAGGGGAAGATGAGGACAGGACTTGATGTTTCAAGGGACTTGCCCTCACAGGGCAGCATTTCTTGTGGTTTCTGACATTGAGCTGACAGCACAGGGACCAGAAAAAAGAAATATGAATTAAAAATAGGAAAGAAGAAAGATCTGCATCTTTTGCAGGCATGAAACTTGACTATGGGTAGGCAAAACAGTTCATTGCAGCAATTTCTGAAGGTCAGGGCATCACGAGGGGACGACAATCAACAGCTGACAGCCAAAGGAAACCCAGATGTTTAAGTTGCATGTGGAGCAAATTTGATTGAGAAATCAGAGAAAGAGCACAAATTCTGTTATTATACATCCAGATTTATTTTTTTTTAGGTTAAAAATGCACTTGAAGCTCTTTTTTTGCAGCTTTGACCTCAGCAAACGGCAGTTGTTCAACTGTCAGTGTCAGAGTTGTGAGCTCCAGTGTTTTATTCAAGTCTCATGCTAGCTGATATTTCTGACAGCTTGGATTTCACATGAATAAATCAGCATTTCAGGTATTACCAGCCTAAGTTTCTATGCATTCTGCTAAAACAAAGGAAAATAAACTGGTCCTACAAACATGTAGCCAAACCCCAGAGACTGCTACCTGAAAAAAGAGTCTTTTTTTGGTTTGGTTTGGGTTTTTTTTGTTGTTGTTGTTTTGTTTTTGGGGTTTGTTGTTTTTTTTTTTGTTTGATGATACGGTATGGGACATAACAAATCTTGTTTCTTAATGCCTGGAGTTACTTTTAGATTATACCCTAGATTGTACCTTCAGATTGCACAGGTACATTTGGACTGTGCTGTTACATTGTCACAGGCTCTGGTGCCCACAGTACCTGCACTTGTGACTCACCGCAGCACCACAGGGCGTTGGAGGATCATCCACCACCACTGGCATCCAATCAAACCTTGTGCAAAACCTTCCCCAGGACCCGCAGGAGATGTGCCTGCTCTCATTGCCTATTGATCGAAATCGTCAGGAATCTCCAGGAAATGCCAGTCAGAAAGGGCTGGAGGCAGCAACAAAGTAAAAATAAATCCCAGCCTAGCATATCAGAAGATATTTAGTATAAAGGAATATTTACATATCCTGCTTTGTGTGTTAGGCACAGCATTTGATGAAATTAGTCTTCTCAGCCTTTTTCATTGGCAAAACAATGCACATCAGTTGGACCTTGGAAACAAAAGGTGAACAGTCTGGTAAAACAGATGCCTGGCTCCTGAACAAGGCTCTGACCCTCACTCCAGAACAAATGTGGTGAGCATTTGCCTGTACGACTGGGGCCATTTACCAGCACCTTTCAAGGCAAACAAAGATCACCATTGGCCACAATTAGAGCTGGATCCAGATGAAATGCTGCACCCAGCAACTCAATTTTCTACTGATTTTTCAAGAGATAATAAGCTTTTACAAACCTTTGGAGAACGAAGACTTTTACTAAGACTTTCACTTGCAGCTCCACTGACTTCACCATCCTGCCCCAGCAATATAAACAAAGCAAATTACCTGAGACTTGCAGACTACCCAAGCCAGGACAGCACAGTCTTCCTATTTCTACATAAGAGGAAATATTTCCTGGTTTGGAAGGTGTGGTCAGGTAAAAGGATCAGATCCTTTTCTTTAGTTAATTTTGTCGCTGTTTTTATCTGCACTTTCTTTCATAGTTTCAGGTGCACTAGTTACCAGGAATATCTGCTTCAAGGCATAAGCAGTTACAGTTCTCAATCTGCCTTCTCTCCCAAAATAAGTGTAAGGCTCTTTCCCATAGATGCTCCAGAGCAGATCTATTTTGATCACCAAAATATTAAACCTGCAAACTCAGGGGAGGGAAAAAAATATATAAATAAAAAATAAAAGGCTTTTCAAATCAAGCAAATAAGCCAAGGGGGAAAAAATAGGCTCAGTCATTTCTCCTACCCATTTAATTAATGGCATTCCACTTCAGAAACGGCACACGCAGAGCAAACCTCTCCGACTGCCTGTTTGCAGCCGAGCTCCTGCAGCTGCCCCTGTGCCCTCCCTGCTGGGCCGTGGCTCTGCCGTGCCTGCCAGGGGCCAGGGCTGGCGGTGCCCGAGGCAGGGCTGCATGTGGGGCCCTGCTCCCCACCCGGGCCTTGCTCCAGCCAAGTGTTTGAGTAGGCACATACCCTAGTGAAAGGAGCAGGACTGGTTGTGCTTCGAGATAAGATTGTCTGCCAGGGCTTTGTTGAAGGCAGCCTTGCAGATGCAGGAAGGAAAACAAGCTGTAAAGATGGCAAAACGAGAAGGAAAAAAATGCCCCAAGGGAAGCAGCACTGGCAGGAGACAAAGAGCTCCTCCTCAGTGAAGGGAACAGTGGGAGACTGAGACAAACTTGCACAGCACAAGTTATGTCCGGCATTAAGAGCCCCCTTGCCACACTCACTTGTGTGTTCTGCACCTCCCAGCACTGGGGCAGGGTGCCAGAGACCTTGGCAGCAGGAGGGACAGTCCACCCACACCCCACATTGACTGCAAACTGTCCTGAACAAGCAGCTGGGACAGGGGCTGTGAGGCCACCTGCAGCAGGGGCTGCTTTGCTCACAGTGACACCTACCTAGGAAACAATTTGGGGGGCTACTGACCTAGCAGATATTTCAGTGGCAGCAGGAGAAGCATCTGTTGGCACAATTTGGAGGAGGATGATCAAATGCTGCTCCCACAGGAGAGATGACAGGTGAAGGACAGCAAGAACAGCAGAGCCAGCCCGGCAGCCCCTGCTGCTCACAAACCGAGCACAGCATTCAGGCACTCATGTAACGTTTGCTTGTTTGGGTGGCTTGGTTGTTTTTCCAGATTCAGTCTCCTATCGCATCCATGGGTAAGGCCCCGCATCCAGTCTGTCCCGTGGATGTAAAAAGAGAACAAGGACCTTCACAGTGTCCGTGGAGAACTTCCTCTTCCTTATAGATGAAGGTTTTACTGCTTGAACATCTTGCTTCAAGCAAGGCAAGGATTCAAGGGGAAATCCTAGTTCCAGTTTAGCTCAAGCTAGTCTTGTGCAGTCCAGCCTTTTGCATCCACCTGTCCCACAAGTATTTTATTTGGCATAGTTTCCTGGTTTGCACATCTCCACTTATGGCCCTTTCTCCATTGCTCCAATCCACAACAACAGGAGGATGGAGTCTCCAGCTGCACTGTGAGGATGGTGTGAGGGCAGGGAGGCCAGGGGCAGTTGAGTTTTGAATGTTGAGGTGGGAAACAGCACTGCACAGCATGTGGTTTCTGCTCTCCTCAGTCTGGAGGCTAAAACTAGCACCTCCAGCCCCACAGGAGTCCTGCTGAGAGCACAGGGAGGAGCTGTGGGGTTGGGACTGGCTCAGTCCTGTTGGAATTCAACTGACTGGTGATAAACTCCCTGAGCCAGACTAGACCCGAGACAAGATAATGCACACAGCTTCCTGCTGCACTTTTTGGCCTGATGCATCTCCAAGTTAAACCAGCACCTTGTCCTCACAAGTGGCTGAGCCATGGTTCCTGGCATGCACTGGACCTTGAGCACAGGAGCAACAGGACTGGGCCAGAGGGACAACAGCTGTGCCAGGGCACCGTGGGCAGTTGCACAGCCCCAGGGACCCGGGAACAGCAGGGTACTTACAGTTAGAGCCACAGCTGCTGCTTTGTGCCCTGAGGCCCAAAGACTTTTCTTTTTCCAGAACAAGGAAAAGAGACTTGTGCTAAGTACCTTAGTTTGTTTAATCCACCATACAGAAACAAAAGCCTGAGAGGTTCAAAGCTCCAGTGTTTATTCCATCAGGCTTATTTCTGGGCTAAATAAACCATCAAAATCTAAGTCTCAGCTGAAAACATCTAAACATGCTAGCTGAAGCTAGTGAATATTTAGTGTTTGGCAAAGACAAAGCATGAATCCATAATTGTTGTGAGTCACCTAGAGAAACCAAGCAGTAGCCAACAATAAAACCCCTTTGAATAACTCAGTGGAAATGAAGATGCCTAGAAACGTGCATACCATCAACACCACATCCTCAGCCCTGGTGAGGCCAGAGGGGGGCAGTTCTGTAGAGGATGTTTCAGATCCCCATTGGTCACTGACCAAGGACCCCATGCCAGTCTCACCAGAAGCCCATCCCTGCATACAAGGGCAGTCTGACATCCACATTTCCCTCTGTGACTCATAGAATTGGACAAGTCAGGCTTTTGCAGACAACAAAAAAGATAAAAATCATATTGCTTGGGGGAGTGCCAAGCTATTATTTCACCCAATTAGAGTCTTGAACTGCTGAAAGTTAAAAGGATTTCCTCTGGAAAGAGAACATTCCCCAGCCAGAAAGTCTCCAGAAAGGTACAGGCGCAATAACTCCTGGCATTTGGTGTTAGGAAACAAGCGTCTAGACAAAGCTGCCTTCTGCTGATTTGTTTTTGATGACTTTTTAAAAGATGCTACAGTACAGATCCTAGGACTTTAATTTCTATTTTTTACAGTCTGGATACCTGTGACAGCTTCACATGTCCAGAACATGCTGGAAATTATTTCCACATCTTTGGTTGTTTTATTTAACAGCTACAGTCTAGAAGTACAATGCCCCCTGGGGTTCTAATGGATGGATATCACTATTTGCATGGATGTGCTGTCAGGCAGGAACAAGAGCTGCCTGCACCGACCCTGCAGCTGAAACTGCCTCCTGGGGATACCATGAGTGGGTTTAGCCCCATGTCAGTCCTGCTTGAGAATCCTCAGTTGATCTGAGGAACACAGGGGGCTCTTGCACAGGGCTCTCACAGGAAAGTGCCCAACACACTGGTGCAAAGGCTCAAACATCCCCTCATGCACTGCATGTGGCACAGCTGGGTCTGGGCACAGCCCTCTGTTAGCATTCCTCACCCAGCTCGGCACCTCCTTTCCCATACCTCCTTGCTGTGAACCAAGCAAAGCTGTGGAGAATTGTACCAAGGGGAAGGTTTTTACCTCGTCCTGCTGTTCTCAGGCGGGCACGGGCAGGCTGGCCATGGGGAGGAAGCAGCTTCCCCTGCCACAGCACTGCCCATGATTGCTTCAGCATGTTACAATACATTGATTGAGCAACTGGCAATTACATTGCATTTATCTCTATCTGCAGTGTTATGGTCTTACATTCACAGTTGTCTAAACAAGAGCCTGCCTCCCATCCACAGTAACTTCCATTTTGTGTGCTGATCCTACAGCAGAGAGAAGCACTAAAGACTGAGCTCACCTTTTGGTGCTGCCCCCCACCCAACCTGTTTTTCAAAAGTAATTTTTAAATGTGCTTCTATATTGCTACAAAAGCAACCTTATTGCCACCCTGCAAAAGGAAATGTTTTGTGTTTTGGCACAGCGAGCTTTAGTTCCTTTTCAAGAAGAGGGAATTTAGTGTGGCTGCCCTGAGACTGGCTATAGCTTTATCAAGAGAGATTTCATCATGGATTTAGACAACCTCGCTCACAACCATTGTGCTGTCAAACAGGTTTCCTTCCTCTTCTTCCCAACACTTCTACATCACATCCTATTTAGAGCTCTTATAGTGCTTCATAAATAATGCGATAATAAGAGCCCTGTACACTTGTGGGATTTGGGAGGCATTATCTCAGTTTTTAAGAGATGGAATATGAAGATC